CACTTCATACTTTTTATCCCTACACCATTCTTTAAATCAGGGTGTAATTTAAAACAGTTTACCTGATCGTGCCCAAACATATTACAGTGAGTACAGTAAGAAGGATGTTGTTCCAAAGCCACCTGTTGCCAGTAGCCAATGTGTTCCGAACCGATCCAAACCTCATCCGGAGGGGGTAAAGTAACATCCCTCTCAATTAGAACCCTAGCCAAGGAGGGTCTAGTGAGATTATAAGTGGGGGCATCCAGCTTCAAAGGTCTGCCGAACATGGCTGCTAACGAAAACAGAATCTCATGATTGAAGAGATGAACTTTCAAAGACGAGAAACGAATCCAGACAAGAATAACAGGAGCCTCAGCCTTAGGATCGAAGTTTGCAGATCATTTTAAAACTTTCATGCCACAGTTCTCAAACCTAACCATACGCTGAGCAAAAAGTCGCGTATAGTCCTCGTTCACCAGTTGAATCAAGATATGTCTACCGTCCAGAGGGCCAATCTTCCATTCACCCATAAGTTTCATCAACTCAAAATTTTTTCTAAGAAAATCCAACTTAGGTATCCCATAAATGAACTTTCCAACCAAATGCAACCTACAAGAGGACACTAGATCGACGTTCTCAGCATCAGAGAGGAAAAGCCCCCCCCCACCCTTCCGGCCAGGACGACTAACGAAAGAAGAAGTAGAATCGGTCTCAAGAGAGTCATAGAAAGAAGAAGGGAAGTTGGGGGCACCGTCAGCGATGACACTAGCGTATGATCGAATTGTTGAGAGATTTGGAGCAAAAAAGCACAGAGATTTAATGAAATTCAGCAATTTGCCAACGTTTTTGGGATTAGAGCGGTGACTTCTTCGGATTCACGAAAAAGAGTATAAGATCCTATTAGGATTACAATACAACATATATATTTTTTTTAATAAAAGAGCAACTCGTGGCTCCTTACGCGTTGATACTCAAAAGAAGTTACAAAATGAGGGATAGAGGATCCCCAGCTAAAAAACCCAAAAGAAAAAATAAAAACCTAGGGGTCCAAAATTTGCAGTACAACGCGACACAAAAGGGAAAGCAAAAAAAGTAAAGGATTACATCAAAATAAATAAGTATTGTTCCAAACAAGAAAACTCATCCAGTAGCTCGAACAATCCAAACTTGTGCCATAACATATCTTTACGGTAGAAAGGTTAAAGCTTGTTGACAAGGTGCTACAAGTAAATTTTCCCAGACCGATGCCATCATACCGCCAAAGAAAAACTATACATTGCAGAAAAGTTAGTCCAAAATATTCCAAAGCAGGCATAAGCTCGAAATAGAAGTAGAAACATCTCCTTAAAGTATAAACCGAAAAGGGCCCCATAAGAGCAATAAGGAAGTGCAGCCAATGATAGTTCAGAAAATTCTTTATAGACACAATATAGGAAAGAATTGGTATAGCAAAGTAACTAGAAACACAGCAGTAATTAATATGTAGAAATATTCCACAATACCACTGCAGCAATATACCTGCAAAACTAAAAATCTGCTAAACCAAGGCACAGCATAACCGAAGGACAAGAAGACATATAAGCAAAATAAAAAATCTGCCAATAAGTAGGACACTCAATCCAAACCTATAGCATAACTGAAGGACAACAAATATGGAGCAAACCAAAAATGGGTAATACAACAGGTCACACATAACAAAATAGAAATCAAATTCGAATAGAATATAAGGGGAATCAAATAGAAATCAAATTCGAATATAAGGGGAATCAAGAGAGTCACTTAATAAAATAAGTGATGCATAGGAGTAAGGAGTAACACCGACCAAAGGATTAGTGTTACCCTTAGCCATCTTAGCAAGCCAATCAACCGGGGAGTTCCCTTCACGAAAAATAAGACATGCGGACATTAATATTGAAAATTTCGATAGCCTCCTTAATTCTTTTCCAAGTGTAAAGAACATTCCAAATGGGTACAACAAATGTACCGAAATTCTTAAAAAGCAATTGAAATTCTTAAAAAGCAATAAAGTGTCCATCTCTATGATGATATTGGAGAAATTACAAGAGTTAGCAACCAGCAGGAAAAGCAGAAAAGCCCAGCTTTTGGCTTCTAAAGCAGATGAAGCATTAATAGGAGAGGCAAAATGACAAATACATTGTCCCAAGTGATTGCAAAAAACCCCACCCGCACCCGCAGCCGTGAAAGTCCAGCTTCCATCGATATTAATCTTGGTCCAACCCAGGGGTGGTGGTTGCCACCTAATCACGGTGGCCGTCCTACTCACCCGAGGTTGAAAGCAAGAAATGTCCAAACCAAAGATACGATTCAGTCGATAGTAATAAGTTAAAACATAAGAAACAGTATTAGCAGGAGACAGATCCGTAAGCAAATGTTTAAAACTATTTCTAGCCACCCAGATAAACCAAAAGACCAACAAAAGAAAGCATAAGATTTTTTTATCAACCAAGGCAGCAGCTTTCTAAGTACGTAAGTAGTCTATCATGTAAGAACTATGAGACCAACAAACCTGAAGTGTTGTCCTAATAAGGACCAAACCTCTCTAGCATAGGCACATTGAAAGAAAATGTGCCTTGGGATTCTTCATCTTTCTTACAAATATAACGCTGAGAAGCAATCTTAAGACCTTTAAGTTTGAGAATATCATCAAGTGAATGCAGCTTAAGTAAAAGTTTTCACAGAAAAAAAGAGATAGAATGAGTAAAAATAATATTCCAAATATGCTTGCCCCAATGCCAATTGCTAAAGTTATAGATGCTGGAGTATAAAAATTTTGTAGAAGTAGTAGAAATTTTCCACATGGGCATGTCTTTCATTCTCTTACTTATAGGAATTTTTGAAATTTTACTGTAGTCATCACCGATGACGTCTTTTAATTTATTAACATCCCAATGACCATTCGACCAACAATCTGAGAGAATCAAGTTATTATTAAGTAAATGAGGTGAAAAATTGGAATCGCCTTGACCCCATTGCTCGTGCCAGAAGGAAATGTTACCGTCACCAATATCCCAAAAAATAAACTTAGCAGCAATCGAGCGGGCAGTAGTGATGGCTTTCCAAATTTTAGAATCACATTCTTTCCAATTAACAATAGCCGGATTTATGCGAGCACAGTATTTATGATGCATGAAACGGGCCCTTAAGGAGGTATTGGCACGAAATTTGAACCAAAGCTTGCACATATTAATATCCGAGATTTGCTTCAAATTCTTAATACCTAGACCCCCCACAGTAAAAGGTTTAGAGATTTTATCAAAGGTGGCCCAGTGTTTTCTGGTATTAGTGCCCGACCAGATGAATTGGTAAAAAAACTTCTCTAAGGTGTTTTGGGTACTCTTTTTAAGATTTAAAACCTGTAAAGCATAAAGTTGAATACTCATCAAGATACTCTAAGTAAAGTAATCCTCCCCCCATTAGAGAGAAAAGAATTCCTCCAATCATTAATCTTATGGTTGATTCATTAATCTTAGTTGATTTTATCAACCACATCATCTAATTGAGTTTGTTTCCGATGATAAGTAGTAATTAACAATGATCAATCTTGTCCCCTTCATAAAATTATTCTTTTTTTATAGAGGAATAATACTATGATGATATTATATTTTTACCCTCATTTGGAAGGGGTACGCATTAGGATATTTTTTGGTAATTTACATGTGTGGTTTTATCATCTGACTGCCTTCTGACTTAATTAGCTAAGCTTTAGTTGACTTTAGGTTGCCAGGGTGTGCTCTTTCTGCTGAGCTTGATCGGTATGGTTCGGTCGGCTGATCCACTCTGATGGACTGTCTTTGATCCCCAGTGACGAGTCTTTGGAGTTTTCATGGGATTGTCGGAGATGCTTTGCGGAATTTGACATTCTTTTGAATCGGTTTCACTGAGGATTAGGCTATTGCATCTAGTCAACTTTTCTTTAATGGTTGGCTCATACATTCTTTTGTCTCATTTTTAATCGGATGACTCATGCTTTGATCATTCAGTCGTCTTATTGTCCTCCTTGTAGCTTGATCAGTTTTGGTTTTGTTGGCTTTACTCGTATTGCTTTGTTTATTCAGTGAGGCGGGCCTCATGATCTCCTGATAGTGGGCCAACCTCCATCATAGTTCAATTTTTAACCATTAGATTTCCTTAAGCTCAGTGCAGAAACTTTTTTAATGTGAACTCAGCTTTTTCTCATATCTCTCATACCGGAGGAATAAAGCCAATCAGAGATTCAAAATACAAAGAAGAAAAGCAACAAAGAGGATTTCATCATCTAATTATTCTCAAATAATTATTTTCCCTGCAAACACGAACACAACCTTCAAGATAAAATAAAATAAATAAATAGCAGCATTTGTATACTTCTTGAAATATACGCAGATGTTATGATCTTAATGATATCTGTTCTGCTGGAACAGGGAAGCTTCTGATGTCGGCAAACCTGCAGTGATATATAAATCAGAGAGGAGGGCTCAATTGAAAGCTGAAGGCTTCCGGATTCATGGCAGCTCTGGTGACCAATGGAGCGACTTGTTTGGACCACCAATGGCCAGTAGATCCTTCAAGCTCCCAAACCCAATGTATTTTATCAAATAATATATATATATATATATATATATATACACCATGTTCTCTGATTCTTTGGTTGTCATCTGCGATGTCAGTTCTAAGTCCTCTAGGTTGAGGGTTCGATCCCGCTGGTGTACGGATTGGTTAGGCACATGAGGTTTGTTGGAACTCGTATCATTGCCTCTGGCTAAAGTAATGATTCTATGTTTGTGTAAGGATGTAGGTCAAAATGTGTGGCAAAACTAATCAATTTGGTGAGGTAAGAACTGTAAACATCCGTAAGCTGTTCTTGATGTCGCATCACAATGGGGTTTATTGTTTTGCTTGAATATTCGATGAGGCACTTGATTTGGCTAAAATATTGTTCAATCAAATAAATTGCTTTAAAAAATAACAAGAGTTTGTTGTATTTGTATTTATTTTTTGGAAGTAATAAACCATCTAATTATGTATTGGGAACATTTACATACATACCACCCAATTCTGATGTATTTACACACTTTTAACGCCTAAAAGTCGCTCTTTGTATTCATGCCATCCAAGTCTTTTATATCAAATCAAAAATATCATTATTTTAATTTTTTAGAAATGAAATACAATTTTTAATGCATGGGTAAAGGTGGTATATATGTAAAAAGTATTTTTTAGGCCTAGGATATGTGATACATAAGAATTGAGTGGTATATATGTAAATCTTATTTCCGGCAATAAGAATTAATAGAAAGGTAGTTAAAACCCTCCGAAAATGATAAATTTTAAGCCATGATTTACCTAATTTTTGTTCTCTTTATTTTTATTTATTTATTTATTTATTTATTTTGCTAAATAAAGGAATTTTTTTAATGACAAGCAATGAAATAAGGTATACGACTCTTATCTATAGATTTCATAAATAGTTTTCTCATTCAATTGTAGCTGGTCACGGATCTTTCTATGATTTGTGAAATCTACGAAAAAATATTATGTCACGAGTATTGACGTAAAATTATATCAAAATTTCAATCAAAACCCAGTGTACAGAGCGGCCCTGCTGAATATAAAAAATTAAATATTTTAATGCATGACAGAGCCGGACTGTATACGTAGCATATTGTGATTGAAGCTTTGCATCAAAACTTCTGAGGTAATATTTTTTCGAAATCAACAACCAATTTCTTTGCAAATCAATGCATGGGACTCCTGATTTAAGTCACATACATAAATTAAAAGTTATAAGAGTGCAGAGGCACAAGAGTTTCAATGTAAAAACCTTGAAACGAAAAAATAATATAGAGCATGGTTCAACAATTTGTTTAGTGTATATTATCAGCTATAAGTAGTTTTTTTTTAATAATTGAGAAAAAGTTTTAGTACAATATATTATATAAAAATTACTGATGATAGATTCTATAATGTTAATTGAAGAACTTTTATTCATTATTGCTGTCTTCAAGTCATTGGTGTTAGGGTGCATTAGTCTTATAAACGAAGATGCATATTAACAAGGTGCATCAGCTTATAGGTGATGTCATGCGTCGATGTTGCGCATTAGTTTTATAAGCAATAGTGGGCTACAAGTCGGTGGGCGATGATATAGGGCAACAAAAGTCAAGAGTTTGGCAACAATAGTGAAGAGTTCGGAGTTAGAAATTTTTAATCAAGTGATGATAGTCGGGTGATGTTGGGCAAGTGAACATGCTTTTGTGACTATAGTTGGGTGAGGTTGGAAACCGTAATCGAATGATGATAGCTATTGGAGCCTATCCATAGTAGTAGGGCGACTGTAGTTGGGCCACGAGGGTTGGCCATGAGGGAGGTGACCATTGTTAAGTGACAATGATCGGGTGACCATAGTTGATTGATGAAAGTGTAGTTATCATAATTTTTTTATTATGATTACATGACATAATAGATTGTGGTTGGACGAGGATAGTAGTGACAATAGCCGAGAGATTTTTCTCGAATGATGGGGATCGAGATATTATAATTGGGCGATTAAGATCAAAGTTATTCGAAAGAGCCGAGTGATGTTGGTTAGGTGAACATAATCATACAATGGTAGAAAGGAAAAACAATGGTGTTTGGGAAAACATGTCTGGGTTACAATAGTTGGCCAAACCTTGGAAGGTGATCGTAGAGTCGAGTGATGGTAGTTAGAAGACTAAAGTTGGGAGTGACAGTGATAGTGATATGTGGATCATAGTTGAAGATGGTCGGTTGATTGTACATGGGTGATGTTAGCCGAGAGATTGTAGATGAATGTGGTTGGAATCTTATAAACAAGTTTATTTTGGTCAAATAGTAATGATTAGGCGAAGATAGTCATATGATCATACATGAGGGCATCTTGGTTTGCTCGACACATGTTATTACAATCAGGTGGTGATGGTCAGATTAGTATAGCCAACGACGATGATTAGATAATGATATTCTGGTGGCGGCATGGTGTGCATCACTATTGTTGTTGACAACGAGATCAACTATAACAATGTGCTTATTCTATAATTATGATTACTCTTTGTTAATTCATTCAAAGATGGGAAGGCTTGGCGTCTCTCCAAAGACTTGAATTTGACCCAAGCTTAAAATCTAAAACCAAAAAAGACAAACCTTCATTCATACCAATTTCAACTTTAGAGTAACTTAAGACTTGTTTGACAACATTATTATTTATTTATTTATTTATTTATTTATTTTTATTTCAAAAGTAAAATCTATAACTAAATTTAAAATTTAAAACAAATTAAATTTATTATTAAAAATACTCAAATTTAATTTTTATGTTTTTTTTTTAATTTTCAAACGGCACGAATTCTAAGTATTCAATGCCAATACCCCGCATGAAATGAAAATATAATAATAATAAATAAATAAATAAATAAATCATACAAATAGCAATACCCTCGACAATAATATAAATTACAACATAAATAATCATTTTCCCAGCAATGAAACAAAAGCAGCAACTCTGCAGCCCGCAGCCATTAAAGCCTCCTCACCTACCCCTCCCTCCTTCGCCTTTCATGGAACCGAAACCCTAAAAAAGTACGGCGATCCCCTCATCCCACCGCCCCCCCCCCCCCCCCCCCCGCCACACCCCGCCGGCCTCATTCCCGGCAACCCGAAACAACTCAAACTCCCCGCCGACGATCCATCACACTCCGGCGCCGGCCGCTGCAAATCCCTCCCCGGAATACAATTTCCGGCCAAATCAAACCCTACATTCCTGAACCAAAGCCTCGCACAATCATTACTCACTCCGGAGAAAAAATTATAAGACACCGTCAAATTCATCAGACTCCTCAAATCACAAACTATCTCCGGCAACTCCCCGCTCAGCTTATTATGGGCAATGTTGAGCACTTCGATTCCGGCGAGACATGAAATGGAATCCGGCAAATGTCCTGTAAGTGAATTGAAGCTCAAATCCAGCACCTGCATCCCTGTAGCGTAACCGACCTCTTCCGGGATGCAGCCGCTGAGACTATTGTTCAGTAGGAGAATTTCCTTCAGACCGGATCCGGAGTAGCCGAAGCTGACCGGAATGGATCCGGTGAGCTGGTTGTTGGCGAGGGTTATCGCAGAGGCAGAGGAGGACCAGAGAGTGAAAGGGATCTCGCCCTGGAACTGGTTGTCGTTGAGGAAAATGGCGTCGAGGTTGGAGTTTTGGAAGAGCTCGTCGGGGATTTGGCCGGAGAAGGAATTGAATCGGAGGTCTAGGTAGATGAGGTTAGGGATTTGGAGGGTGGAGGAAGGGAAAGGTCCGGAGAAGAGGTTGTTGCTGAGGTCGAGCTCGGAGAGGTATTGGAGGTTGGAGAGGGAGAGGGGAATGGATCCGGAGAAGCGATTGGAGTTGAGGTGGAGGGCGGAGAGGTGGGAGAGGAGGGAGAGGTCGGGGGTTAGGGTTCCCACGAGGTTGGCGCCGTTGAGATCGAGGACGGCGACGACGAGGGAAGGGGATGGGAGGCGTTCGGGTGGGTCGGAGCAGAAGATGCCTTTGTAGGAGCAGATGTTGGGGCCGATCCAGGAGGAGAGAATGCGTTTGGGGTCGTCGCAGATGGAGGATTTGAAGGATTGGAGGGCAATGTATTCGATGTTGGCGGTGGTATCCGGCGGGGGAGGGTTGCCGGAGATCGAGATGCCGACGCCCACGCTGATGCCCATGAAAGCTGAGATCTTTGGGTACAGAGAGAGGACGGAAGTGAGGAAGAAGAAGGAGCGGGTGCTCTGCATTGTGGATGGGAGGGGGTGTGTGTGTATTGGAGCTCTCTCTGGTTGGTTTTGCACTTTTAACCATTCGGAGGGAAGAAAAAAAAAATTGAACATCTACTTGCACATCAGATCACCGATTTTTTTTTTTAATTTTAATAAGCCGTTTAACTATTTACATGCATACCACTCAATTCTTCTGTATTTACATCTCTAACCCTAAATCGCTATTTTTACATACATGCCGCCAGCTTGCCTATTCATAAGATAATGTATCAATTTTAAAAGTTAAACTGATGATATTTATTATTATTTTTTAGATACTAAAAAGATGATATTTTTTATGTAATATAAAAAAAAATGAAAGATATAAATATAAAAAAGAATTAAATTTAGATGTAGGATACAAAAATGTAAAGGAATTGGGAGTTGTGTATGTAAATGCCCCTTTTACTTAATTAAAAACTATATATATATATATATATATGATGGTGGTGGGGTCACTATAAGTCCTCTCAGGTCAAGGGATCGATCCCACCGTTTGGTGGTGGGGTCACTGTAAGTCCTCTCAGGTCAAGAGATCGATCCCACCGTGAAGGGATCGATCCCACCGTTATGCGAGAGCTTTGAAATTTCAGTCACATGACACCGAGTTCTCATCATGGAGTCAAAAATTGCATTAGAAATTAATATTTGGGCCTTTGCCAAATATCGATTGCCCTTTTTTAATATATATATATATATATATTTGACATCTTAAATATAAATTAGTGAAATTTAAGCACATGCCACATGAACTAGGTTCTACTTTTACAGGCTTTCATGAAGCAAAAGACAAGTGAGAAATTAAAAAATAATAATAATAAGTAGAGGGGGGAATTTACATCCACACAACTCAATCCCTATCTATTTATAAACTTTAATTTTTACATACCACCTTTCCAAAACATGAAAATGTGCCATCACTTCTTAAAAAGTCGAGTGACAAAAATTTGGGTGGTATAAATATAAAAAATAAAATTTAGACGTTTGATATGTAAGTACAAAGAGATTGGGTAGTTTGTATTTAAATGTCCCATAAATAATATGAATAAGCAAAAAAAATGATCACAAAGATGCAAATAAATAAATCCGACAAAGGAAAATCATTCAAAATTTGGCCCATTTGATAAAATTTTTGCCAACCTTCCACAAAGCTATCACAGAAAAATCGTTTGTTTGGAAAAATAGTCAAATTATTTTAAGAGAAATATTGCCAATATATATATATATATATATATAAAAGATTGGCCAGAGGCTATTAGATGAGCCTCTTGACCAACCTTATGATCCTAGGAACATCATTCTGCACATAGACAAGATGGAACCTGGGACACCAGGGGTCTTGCAAATTCTATCAACCAAAGAGTCATGGTAGACAGCACAAACATTGCCAATAAATATATATATA